CCATCCAAGCCCATTTTGGGATTGCCTAATATATAGCGGAATCTAATTTGTAGTGGACACTTTCTAGTATGATTTTGCAATTGTGTTGATACTCATTTGACTTGGTAATTCATGCTTTTGTACTGGTATTTTACTGTGAGAAGTAAATTACTAAAATTCATCCCTATGTTTTGCACTTGTGCTGTTTGTGTTTGGTGGTAAGGCTCTTCGAGGAGAGAGAGATGTGAATTCCCACATACGTTAAAGATATGTTTTGGGCAAGAATGCAGACAACTCAAAAGGTCAAGAGCATTAATAGATTTTTTGATGGGTATATTAACAAGCACACTCGACTATTTGAGTTTGCTCCTAATTATTGTAAGGTGATGGAAAGCCGTGCAAATGATGAGAAGGATGCGGATGCAAACTCAGCGTGTTATGTAAGGCCTTTATTATCAGAATTTCGATTAGAACGTAAATTTCAAAAAGTGTACACGAATGCAAAGTTTGTTGAAGTATAAAATCAGTGCAACCGTGTGACATATGTGACCCCTGTCGGGCAAAAAAGATGGTGTCACATAATGAGGAAAAGTAATCCCCCGTATTTTTAAATATTTTATAAATGAAAATTTATTTTATTTATAATATTTATTTGTTATTTTTCATAATTTAATTTCAAAAGTTTCAAATTATTAATCTGGGTCGAAAATTATTTGAACAAATTATTTTATGCACCTTTATTCTACAATTTATGTCCAATCACACAAGCCTAACCCATTTGTTTACTTAATCGACCCATTATTTTTATAAGGCCCAATCTTCCTATTTACCCTACAATTCTCTCCTATAAATACCCCATTAATTCCCAAAATTTTCCACACAAAAAGGTTAGTCTTATTTTCTCTCTCCTTTGTTTTATTAATTTGTATAATTATAATTATTGATTTATGGATTTTGATTTTATTGTTTGAAAGTAATTTAATTAGTATCAAGTTGTGTTTTGATGATTAAACTTTATAATTTCAGATTTTATAATGTCATAATTTTCAAATTTTGTAAATTTTATAACCTAGGGTTTTTAATGATTGAAAATCATGATTTTAGGGTTTTTATGAACAATTGATTTAGGGCTTTTATAGTAATGATGTTTTGAAATTTTGGTGATTATAACTACTAATTAGTTTAACTTAATTCCAGATTATATTGAACACTTAAATTCGTGTTTTAATCTTAAGATTTATGTTCTTTAATATTAATCCCGTTTTAATCTCGATCAAGTTCTGAACTCATCCGATTTTGATGAAAAAGTAATGTTTTCTTGTAGAAACAACGTTTTAAAAAAGACTCACTACCTTTGGTAGTGAGCACCACCCTCTCGTGGCCAAGTTCAGCTTTTAAATATGATTTTCGGACAGTTTTTGATTTTTAACGAAATTTTTTTTATACTTAAAATATTATCCTTGAGTTTGATTAGTAAAATTAATTATGTTTAAAGTTAATTAAGCATAAATATATGTTTTTATTGAAGTTTTAAAGCTGAAAATAGTTTCTAAGTATTACCTTTGATGTTTGATAAAGAGGGTTTAATCACCCATTAAAAAGGGAGATTATTAGGAGTTTTTAAATAATTTTAAGATTTTTATTAAACTTTAAACTTGCTGTAATTTCATGTATAAGAGTGTATTTTAAGGTTTTTATGAAGAAAATTTAAAGAACTATATATAAGCCTTTAATTTTAACTAAAGGGAAGGTTTTAAAGTGATGTTTGATTTGGATTTTGAAGGTCTTAAAGTAAGTTAGTATTGCTGTAAATTTGATTGATTGGGTATTGATTGAGATGTTATTGTTTGGTTTAGGAGAGGAGTTTATTGAAGGTGATTTCTAGATAGTAAAGTGGCATACCAATTCGTTTATTCAAGGTACGTACAAGTTACGAAACCTTTCTTTTAGGTGCATGTTTAAGGACGGATCGAGAACTTAGTATCATGTATAGGATTGACTGGGTTAAATTGTTTGGTTATACATTGTGAATTTCAAATGATGTGCACTAGTTTATAATGCAAGTATTATTTGTGCTCTAATTATGCAAGGTGCGCTTAAATGCAAAGGTATGTGATTGGTGTAAAGATAAAATTATTACTCATTCATGATTATGCAAACAGGATGAGTAAAAGAGGAATTCAAGTCTTATAAGACGAGGTTAAGGTTTTGGGGTGCCTTGTGCACTCAAGGTGTTTATACACCGAGGTAGTTAAAGGAATAAATAATAAATGTTGCTTGTCATTAATAAATCAAGAATTGAAATTGGAAAGTTGTTTTACTTGATTGAATTGATATTGGATTGATTCTATTGTTTGCATATGAGTCATCACCAAGTCTAAAACTATAAATCACGTAAAGTGTAAGATGGATGAGCAATAAAACTCTGGATCGGTGCACTTCTGGAGTAATGACAATAAGGGGTTGGGGTACACGGGGTATTAGCCGTGTACTTTTATCGAGGCCGTCTGATCTACGAGTCTCCTATTTGAAATATTTTTTTAAAACTAGGAGTTAGGTGAGATCTCATACTAACTACGGTCACGGAGTCGCGCCCGTGGTCGTTGGATGTTTATTGATGTTTCTGAAAGGAGGCATGGGGTTTTTCTTTTATTGATGTTCCAAATGGAGCATGGGTTGGACAACCTTGTCTATTGTGTAATCCAATGAATAAAAATAATGATTTACCTATTATTAATTAATGGAGTCTTAGTAATATAATAGTTGAGTCGTGTGTTGAGTTTATAATTTAATGATGCATGATGATTGATTATTAGTAGCATGTTATGGATTTCTTATTTGTTTCGCAGCTTGTATGTACTCAACTTTGCTGATTGCGTGCTTTTGTGTGTGTCTTTCTCTGTTCATGGCCTTCGCCTTTCAATGACCCTGTGACGATCTAATTTTTACACTTGTAATATTGGGGAGCAGATTAACCACAGGTTCTTACACACGCAACATTTGCATCAGGGTTGTGGGATTTTGAGTGGAGAGTTGGTTATTATTCGCAGTTTATTTCTTTTCAGAAGTTTGAATTTTATTAAACTATGGTTTATTTATTTACTACTTTTGTGGGGTTTTTAATAAGGGCCCTAATGGTTCCAAGTTGTATGATTTAATTTGGTTTTGGTTATTGGTTTTGAAACTTACTTATAACTGAATTAGTTTTTCCGCTGCTATTTTCTGATAAAGCCTTAGCGTTTGAACACGTGGCGGTAGCATGCCAGTAATTCTCTTGAATATTGTTCAGAGTCCTCACAGATTTAAAGAGAGAATTATTGGGGTGTTACAAAAATCATGTCTTCTCAGATCGTGCATGGACCTATTGCAAGAAAAAGAGGAGAGAAGTTCCGCTATAAAATAGGTTGATGAAGTATAAAGTTTTGTATAACACGGAGAAAAAGGAGGCGTATTGTGATTGTCGCCACTTTGAATGTCATGGGATTGTTTGTAAACACATAATAAAGGTATTGTACATGAATGGTGTTATAGAAGTCCCTCCCATGTACATTCTAGATAGGTAGAGAAAGGATATTAGAAGGTGTAGGAAATATTTCAAGCATCCCACACTTGAGCCCAACTGTGATCATACACTTAAGCATGGTGGGGTCCAAAGGGAAGGAAGCTAGAGCAAAAGAGTCGCCAACAAGTTTTAGGAACTTGTAAACCGTTCACAGGGTGAAGGTTACATCCCTTCACAATCCATGAGATCGCTAACTCCATATTGGTCTGGAACCATTACTAGATATTCGAGGATGTAGGTATGAATCCAACCTAAAAGAGATTGAACCTGCCCTAAAAATAGGTCTCTACTTTATTCTTCTCATATTCATGTGCGCTTTCTGACTAACATGCAATTAATGGGTTAACCCTAAACCTGTTTAATCTATGTTGGTTGAATATTAATGTACAAACAAAATTGTTATTGGCGATCACTTGAATTATAATCATATTAGCCTAAACAAGATTATTAATTATCTTATTAAGCGTGATTACAAGTGCAAATTCCGTTTAAACATGCATTAAAGGCGTGATCAAGCAATACTAATAATATATAATACAAACAACATAACAATAACAATCATCATCATATCATGAAAGCATAATAATATTATCAAGATCCTAGGTATGATACTAACAAGATTAATAACAAATCCTAGCATCTCACTAAGAAATAAAGATCAAAGCTTTATCCCTAACATGATCTAACATGATGTTAGAAAGAATAGAAGTTAAGGCAACCTAAACATGATACTAGAAAGCAATATAGACATCCTAAATTGATACTAGGATTTAAAATAATTAAAGCATGATTTCTATATCAAAAGAATAACAAAGTAATTAAATTATTTACTTGGATGCCTTGTATCTCTTTCTTATAACAAAATACACGCGTTAGTAACTTCAAGGAAAATATTAAATCAAACAATTAAATTAAACAATTGAAAAAGGGATTTGGGACCAAACCCTCAGAAATTATTAACCTTTCCCGTCTACGGCAAATGCAACTTCGAACTTGGCTAGGTGTGTCTAGAACTTGTGAATGTGGAATTTTGTAAAAGGGAAGGTTTAGAAAAAGGGAGATAGAATAAGCTTCTAACTTTTAGAGAGAGAGAATAGATGATTGTGAATGAATAAAAATGGGGAAATACGACCCCTATTTATAAGAAAATAGTCTGGAATCGATATAAACAAATCAGAATTTGAATCGGAATAAAACTGCTCCTTGTCGCGAGCGACAGAGTCTGTCGTCGTTCGACAAGAATCACGCATGGCGACAAGCTCTGTCGTTTGGCGACAATAAAATTAAAAGATAAAACGCGCTTTTAGTACATAGTCCTTTTCTTAATATAATTAAGAAATTAAAACTTCGTTTTAATCAATTTAAATCAGATTTTATCATAAGAAAACACTTATTTTATTTCAAACCAAATTCATTATTTTTCTAAAATATTAATTATCAATCCTAATTCTATTGGATATCAAAATAACCTTTTAGACTATTCTAGAAGACTATAATCAATCCTAATAATTTTCAAAATAATAATTAATGGGCCCTCAACTAGATCATTAGATCATAAAACCATTTCAGACCCAAATCAGTATTTAGACCATAACTTCCTCATTATTCATCGGAACTGGGCTTATAATATATCATTGGAAAGCTGTTTACGAGCCCAACTTAACTAAACTATAATTGGACCCTTATCATGGAACAAACTAAATTGGACTGGATATTTTCATAAATAGAGAAGATTTTCAAAAACAGAAAGAAAGATTTTTATTAAAACTAACACGTCACAATACTTTTCACACTTTAACCTCATTTGATAATCAAGCGACGTGGAAAGTATTCATCAATGGGTTTGGTTTTTGGGGAGACACAATTAGGTGTCTACAGTAGGAAACATACCCTTACCAAAGTTGCTTTTCATGATGTGTCCGAAACGAAAGAGGTGATGAGATATGATAAGTTGATGCTAGCTCTTGAACCTGTTGTTTTGCGTGCTTCATCATCAGAAGAAGATGTTGAAGTGTTGATGGATATGATTCAGGTAATGAGTTTCAAAGTAGATGAACTACAAGTGTTGGCTCAAGGTTCAAGCCAAGGTTCTGGTGGTGATGAAAGGCTTAGTTGTGATCTTGAGGTGGTGAAACAGGTTATTCTTTCAACTCAAAAACCCCTAGCTTAGTCAACAAAGGTAGCATTGCACAACCACAAGACACTCATAATTCATGTGTGAAAGACCCTGAACCCTAGGGTAATAATAATATAGGCAGACTAAGAGGATCTTGATTTGCATCCCCTGCAGAAAAAAAGAGTTCGAATAAACAGGCCAAGGCTGCCAACATAGTTGATAAGAAGAAATAGAAACAAGTTATGGGGCATCAAACTGATGTGGATAATGACACTAGGACTATACATCCCTTTAGTATGCAGAACCAGGTAAGTATAGTTTGTTAAATGTGTTGAATGTATACCGTCATTAGGGGTGTTTCTTAGTTACGTAAGCTATTTGAATATTTGCAGGTACCTTTTCCTGATATGTTAGCTGCTCAACAAATGGCCTCATATTTTCAACAAGGGTACCAGCAGGTACTAATATATGCAGCATATTAATTGTTTTTTTTAATAATTGTTTTTTTTTGCCTTACTAAGAAACTAATACATGTATATGTTGGTACCAGGTAGAAAGAAATAGCAGTGGCGGCCCCTCCGCATTTAACGGAACGATTTTAGCCGGTGGAATTCACATGAATGAGTACACTGATGCAATTAGGTACTTCACCAACAAAGCATACCACGGTCAACTGCATTTCGGTCAACCAGAACATGTATTTAATAACGGCTTTCCGACGAACTCGTCCATACATAATTTGCAATAGGATTCTAATCATTCAATGATAAATTGATTTGTAGAAAATAAGTCAGGTGTAGTATAATTTTCTACTGGGTTACAATTGCTATAATTGTTCAAATTAGGATGGTATTTCATTCAATACCAACTTGTTTACACTGGTATCCTGTTGGCATATTAATTTGGTTAGAATGGTATCATATTTGCATACCAGTAAGAGTTAGAATGGTATCATATTTGCATACCAATAAGAGTTAGAATGGTATATGTTGGCATATTAATTTGGTTAGAATGGTATCATATTTGCATACCAATAAGAGTTAGAATGGTACCCTATTTGCATACCAATAAGAATTATATTGGTACCATTGTTGGAAAGGTATCTTCATTACCATACCTGTAAGATGTTGAATGCTATCATTGTAGAGTACGTATAACCAGTAGCAAATTGCAAGATCATGTGGCATGTGGTTGCTTTTATTATTGTGCATATGCAATCCAAAAAGATTGTACTCCATAAAGATTATCTTGACATATCCACTAAGAAAGCACACACACACACACACACACATATATATGTACATATATGTACATATATGCATATATATTTACATATATGTGTATATATATACATATATGTATATACATACATATATGTATATATATATACATACATATACATACATATAACTGCTTGGGAAAGTTTGATTCCGAACAAGATGTTCATTTCAAACTAGTATGACCCAAATATTGAAGCATGATATCAAGACTGGTTGGTGGTGAAGAGCACAAACATCTTGATGCAAGGGCGGCATTGTTCATTCCGTATTATAACCGCGGGTTTGGCAACTTGAAGACCCTTCTTCTTCCTACTATGTTATTCTATATTGCATGTGTAGTACATACCAACGTAGTACTGGTTGGTATTCAGAAGCTATGTAATATACTAATGTAGTTGTTAATGGGATGAGCTATGTAATTTGCTAACGTAGTTGTAGTTGTTAATGAGATTAGCAAATGTTGTAACTTATTATGTTATTTTAATATACTACTGTTGCTAGATTCAGTGACTTATTTCTGAAATTAAACCATTATAACATAAAAACCTTAATGGAGATAACCTTAGTTAGTACATAACTACTACATAACAACCCTAAAATGACTTCAATGACACCAACATAATTACACTAGGCCTGAAATATAGTAGAAAACTATGGCTGAATTAATTCAAAACACAATAGACCCAAAAATATAATTCAAAACAAAGCAACAACCATAACTTAACCTACTATACCATTGAGAAAGACAATTATACCAATGTCAAAGACAATGGTATAATGGGGATACCAACAAGAAGCAGATAAGTACAACAATTGGATTAGATTCCTTCACTCCCATACGTATCTATGGTGGCACTACAAGAAAAACACTTATTTACGGCAGTTAAAAATGATTAATGCGTTTTTTGAGAGGCAGCAAACGCCAAGTCAGCAAATAAATCAATTAATTTGCTGCGATTAACATAATGCAGCAAATCAATTGGTTGATTTGCAGCGGTTAATGCCAATAATCCCTGCTAATAAATATTATTTAAAATTTATCAAAAATATAATTTCTTAGTTTATAAATATTTTTTTACAATTTATGTAATCTACTACTCAACTACCAACAAATAAATCACCTAAAATCTTTTTAGAACTAGTAGAAAAAAAATGCACCTAAACTTGCTATTCAAAGAAACTATTTATATATAAACTTAAATGGTTCCATTAATAATTCAAAAGCTAGTAAAATTACATATTCATCAAAAAATAAAAAATACAAATGGACAGCATAAGTCATTTCAGTAGCTTTCCTAAAAAAAAAAAAGCACAGTTGCAAGAGGGTAAGCAACCACCATTATTACAAAGTCTTAGATCTGATAACCAAAGGAGTAATAGAATGCGGCAACAATAGTGACGTCAATCGAGCAGCAACAATAATGGCATTGAGCTGGTTGTTGCAGGTACACAAGTAGCGTTCAATAGTTAGTAATAGCACAAGCAACAACAACTCCAATATCGAAATGAAGCATGAACTGATTTGTTGCTCTCTCAATATTTGAAGTATTCATATTCCTCAATGACATGGCATGATATTTCAAATAAGCACATAAAAAATTCGAGCCCTCAAGTTAAATGATACTACTGCAGATGAATAATAGCTTAAAAGACACCACAATAAATGCTTATTATTCCTTTACAATTGAGAAATATATGAAGAGCCTTTTCCAAGATATCTTATAAACATCTACTCTTCAAGATTAAATTAAAAAACTCCCTATAGGATAGCAATATTCACTTTAGGACTAATTTTACTATATTTAAGTTTGAGTCATTTAAAGTTACCGTATATTATCAATGAGCTTCTAAGTCTAATTATTTATTTAACCCCACTTCCCCTAAACTAAGAGAAAGATGACAAAAGTGAGCATTTAAATGGATCTTTGCAAGGGACACCTCATGGGGAATCATTTAAGGGAAGCAAAACCTTTTGCTATCTAAAAAATAAAGTTAGCATCTTGGGAAAAGGTAGAGATTAAACTACACAATCATATAGCCGTCTAGCAGGTATCTAAGTAAGCAAAATTGTTAAAAAAAAACATATAAATTATAGAGGACTTCATTCCTATTACCTTCCCACCCCACAAGTCTAATGTTGTCAAATCCCCATCTCAATCCCTTAAACACATTCTCTGCCCTCCATTTATCTTTCCCCAAACACAAACCCATTTCTATCAGCAAAAAATTCAACTTAACTCTTCAAATTCAACCACATCCCTATATTTAAAAAAAAATGCTACAGTAGCAGGAGAAACATATATCCAAAACAAGACAACTCAAAAGTTCTGATTCAATTCCAATATCTCTCTGACCGAATTGAAATTAAAGCATCAAAGTCTTGGAAAAACTTAATACAACCTTATTTAATGATAAAAATATGAGTAATATACAACTAAAATAAACTTAATTATTAATTATAGAAAAAAAAATTAATCACAACACACCTACACCCAAATAACTTACACATATAAGAAATTTATTAACTTATAAAGAAGCATAAATTTTGTTATAATTTCATACCATTGAAAAACTAGGGTGATAAATATCGCAAATATTCATCAATTCAGGCACAATGAAATTCTCGTACCGGTTAGCTTTTTCAATTCAACTTACATTTCTTCAAAAAATAAAAAATAAAAATTCAGCTTACAGTAATGAACTATGAACCACAACAATAGATAACAAGTGCTTTGTGACCTTCCAAGTGCATTCCGTAGTTCATGTAATTACTTGCATTTAATAATTTATATAATATTGTTGAGATTAAAGAGACTAACATACAGTGTTGATTGCTCGAAAGAACAATTAAAAGACACAACCTGTAATACAATGAAGCAGCACAAATTAAACCTACCGGAGCACATGTGAGACAGTGAGAGCATGATGCACATTTGCTCCAAAAGAACACTAAACACAATAACATCAATAACAACAACATCAATTATACTAGTTATAGCACAAATAAATCATAATTATCAGATCAAATCAACATTAGATCTAATAATAATAGTGAACAATCAATTTTAAAATCAATAGCATAGTTGATTTTTTCAAATTAACCCTAGAACTTCAAACATATGCAAATTAAATTGAATCTTTAGCGAAAGAGAGATTACTTGAAGCAGAACCATGGAGAAGGGATTTACAAAGAAAGAATCTAAAAGAGCGGTGGGGGAAAGGGATGAGAAATGAGGGTGAAGAGCGCAGTGGAGAAAAGTGACGATGGTGATGGAGAGGAGGTGAAGCGTCGACAGCAAGGATGATGGTGGATGAGATCTTGGAAGTAGCAAAGCGTTGGCGGTGGGGATGATGGTGGGTGAGGCTAAGCAAAGCGATAGAGAGGAAAAAGGGCGGTGAGGTTGAGAGAAGTAGTGATGGAGAACGAGAAATGAATTTGTTAGAGGTAAGGGATGAGGGTTTAGATGTAAAGGGGAGATAATTGATTTGCTGCGGTTTTAAAAGTTAAGCCGTGCAAATTAATAGTTTATAATTAAAAGGTGTTAACTAAAAAATTCGTCAATTCTTTTGCTGCGAATTAAAATATATGCAACAAATAAATAGCAGCAAATAAATATTTTTCTTGTAGTGGGAGTAGCTTGAGTCAGTGGTGGATTCCATAACCCAAAAGTACCTCTCATGGAGTTTCTTCATCGCATAATACATACAAAGCCTGTATTCTTCGGGGTGTAGATTAATTAAGTACGGGTTTGTGTGGAGGATTTCTATGTTGTTCATAACATCTAACCCGTTAACCTCCATCATCATGTTTTTGAAACTCGAGAAATTTTTCATCAACGTCCTGCCACTGGAACTCATTTTTTAAATTCTCATGAGAGAAATTGACCCACTCATATGTGATGTTGACCTTTTCGCCAATATGAAGACCTATTCCATTTTCTTTGGAGAACTTGCGCCCCAAAATAATAATACCCCATCTTCGTGATTAGGGGACAATCTTCTCAATATGGTCATCAACATCCTCCCACCAAGCCTCTAATGACTTAAACATGCAAAAGAATTTTGTAAGCCTTTTGTACCGACGCTTGTGTATCATGCATGTTATGAGTGTATCTTTCAACTCACCATGTCAAAAATGAAAGCCATCTTGAACACATCCAAGAGGTAAAACATTAAGCAGTAAGCCTCCTTTTTGAACTCCTTTAGTGGGCCAAGTTCAATTAGTGTCAAGTAAGGGTACTCGGGATGCCAACGTAACCCGTGTATGGCTCCCTCCCCCTTACAACTCTTAACGGCTTGCTCAAATGCAATGATTAAACACTTTGATCTCATTTCAAGAGCTAAGGCCCCAATGGTATCCATCACATCTCTTTCACCGGGGTTCACCTAGTTCTTGACAAATGTTTAAGTCTTCCACCTTTGCTTTTTCTTTCTTGGTGTGTGTGTATTGCCGAGAGATGGATCTTGTTATTCTTCTTTGTGAAGAATCCCCCATCATCACTGGTTTTCTTATTTTGCATGTTTACTATTATAAGTTGTTAAAGTTGTTGCTCGGTTGATTCTTGTAGAAATGGTGTAACTATTTAAATTCAGGAAATTTTGTGTAGAACTACCCTAAAGATAGGGTCATTTATGAACAACTACCCATTTTTTTTTATTTGTTTAGAACTACCCGCAAGTTTGGAAAAGTTTGGGTAGCACTGCCCACTAACGTTTTTCGTCCCATTAAAACGTTATTTTGGCCCAATTTTTTTACTTTTTTCAATTACAATGGTCAATTAATGCTAAAATAAGCAAAAACCCCAATTCAATTAAACCCCTAAACCTTAGAAATTAAAATCCCCAAATAATACTATACTCATGAACCCTAAAATAAATTATGATTAAAACCTTAATTAGGTTAATTAAGGTAAATTAAAACCTTTATACAAATTGGGAGAGTTAATTGGGTGGCAAAAGTGAAAAAATTGAGCTCTGATAACGTCTTAATTGAACGAAAAATGTTAATGGGTAGTGCTACCAAAATGTTTTCAAACTTGTGGGTAGTTTTAAACAAATAAAAAAAATGGGTAGTTGTTCACAAATGACCCTATCTTTAGGATAGTTCTACACAAAATTTCCTTAATTTCAAGCTTAGATTAATTTGTTAACTATTAGTGAATAAATGATTTAATGCAAGTACAATTTTAGGTGATGTAAATAAAGGATTTAATGCAAGTACAATTGTAGGTGTAGGGGTATTGAATTGTAGTAATACTCACTGATGCATAAAACCTTTAACAAGGCAGAAGGTGTATTTTACATTATTTTTACTCATTCATTTAATACTCTAAGTACAAGATGACGCGGTTTCATAGATAATGTGTCCACAATACAAAATAACACCAGGTTGGTATCCATATAGTACCAACCGAGCACATAGTTACACTATTACAAGAGAAGTTAGTATATTGCCAATAATCTCCCAGGCAGACAATGTGAGGACATGGTACAGACATGGTGCACCAATTTAATGCCATTAAATTTTCCCTTTAATTTCCAACCGAATAAGATTGATGGAAAGCATTAATTTTGCCAACAAATGTCTATTTTGTTCCGTTTGTTCCAACCAATGCAATGCAATAACTAAATAACATTAACCTATACAAGAGATGGGTTGTGCCATGATACCAAGTATAGATTAACAAAATAAAATAACATAATTCATAAGTAAACATAACATAAACAAAAGATCCATAATAGTCCGACACAATTACTAATATAATTAACTCCTCCCAGGGCGTACTAATAACAAGATAAACTTGTCAAAATAACTAATAAACCGCTCCATGTTGCGTACTTCTCTTTTTCCTTGTCTTTCTCATGGAATACATATGTTCTGAAAGAACCACTGTGGTAACAATTACTAATTTGGGATAAAAAAAATTAAAAGGATAGTAGACAGACTATTAATACCTTCTTATCTCATTCTAAAGTCGACACTAAAGATGTCGAAATTGGTAAGTTGTTGACAGTCAGCAAGACGGGGGATTAACCTTCTATCCCACACGAGAACAGATCCTCCAATACACCCCCTAACACACGCAATACAAAATCAGAATCTCGACAATTGACTCACTATTCTAACTATAGACACCTGATTATGTCCCCCCAAAAACCAAACCCAGTGATGAGTACTTTTCATGTAATTGATTATCGAGTAAGGTAAAATGTTGAAGGGTCTCGTGAATTTGCCCTTTTCTAAAATGCTTTAATAAAAATATTTCATTTCGTATTTCAAAAATCATTCATTTTGTGTCCTATTCATGAAAAGCCTCTAAACCAATTTATTTTAGTCCATAATATGGGTCCAATAATTGTGTAGTTGAACAGTGTTTGAAAAGACCTTTCCAACGATATATTATAGACTTAATTCCGAGTTATAACGAGTTTAGAAAAGTCGATGTCCAAATTATGAAACTTGCAAGAAAATTCTTACACCGTTGCCATCTTTGAAGGAAAATACTAGTTTGGATTGTTGGGGAAATTGGTTTACCAGGTCACAAAAATGACATGAAAATTAGACAAATTAACATTTCGAGGCTTGAACAAGATCAGTTTTCCAAAGTAATATTTCGACCCTAATATACACACCGGGTATCACGAAATTACTAGGAGATACAACAAAGACAATCACAACAGTGTGTAGTATGTTTGTGATCTAATGTAATTAAACTTTGAAAATTTATGATGATGATAATTGAAACAAAACAAGCAAACTAAGAAAATGAGAAAAGAAAGTCACGAAAAAGAAACTGACTTTTCATTTTCTTACTATTCATCATATAACTTTTGTTAAATGCATAAAGAAAGAAGACCCAAGAGAATAAGATCAAATATAAGCCCAATTCTAAACATTTTCACAAATATAAGCCCAATTCTAAACTTTTTCACAAAAAACACATCATACGTCCTTCAGAAGACTTGAACACACTTAGCCAAGTTCGAAGTTGCCTTAGACCTCGCCGTGAAAGGTTGATAATTATGAGGGTTTGGTCCCAAATCTAAATTTCAATTAATATTATTTTAATTTTTTGATTTAATATTTTCATTGAAGTTACTAACGTGTGTACAATTTTGATAAAAAGAGGTATGAGGCATCAATGTAAGTAGTTAGATTAATTCTTCCTATTCTTTTGATATAGAAATCACGTTTAGAATATTTTAGAAATCCTAGTACCATGTTAGGATGTCTTTATTGCTTTCTAGTATCATGTTAGGATAAAGCTTTGATTTTTATTATTAGTGACATGTTAGGATTTGTTATTAATCATGTTATATCTGTAGACATCTACTTTTGGCCTCTTGTCCCGACGGGAAGTGCTATGACGATCGCCCTGTTTGGTAGTAAGCTTATTGGGGATATATTAGATTATTTGACTAACCTAAGCTAATTAACTAGTTAAATAAGCTAATACAAGTGTTTTGTAGTAAGCTTATTGAAAGAGCTTATTTACCTCAATAAGCTTTTTTCCAAAACTTTGGGTTGAGCAACATATTCAAAGAGCTGATTTGTTTTGGTGAAATTAAATTACAAGTTACCCTCTTGTAAACCCTATGACATACAATGAAGCAAAGCAAAATTAGTATTATCACTTCTTCCCTCAGCCGTCCACCACTCCATAGAAGATCTGGTTCTCAACTTCTCAAGGTTAATTTTATCAATTTCTTTTCCTTAACTTTTATTTTTTCTTCCTTAATTTCTTTGTTTTGATTATTGCTTTTTAGTTTATTTTATTATATTGGTCATGCAATTTTTTGTTAAAAAAATTATCTATTTTAATCTAAATTTTAGCAATCCTTACCTCCTCCCAAAAAATTATCCCATATTAACAAAAATTTGCAATCCTTGTTAGTTGTTACCCAGAATCATTCTGTTTTTTGTTTTAATTTTTAATTAAATTATATATGTGTTTTAGAAACTGAGTTGACATTAATTATGTGACTTTTTTTTCTTCTGAATTATATATACGTTTATTTTTTTAATCTTAATTTTATATGCATTACCTAGAAAAAAAATTATACAGTATATGCTTTTTTTTCTTATTAGTATTCTTATTAATAATCTGAATTTTTTGTCAGATATATCATGTATTGAAGACTATTCCACAAAGTTTAGCTATTGGGCCAATTAAGGTTCGTTCGTACACTCTAGCATAGGTAATTTAGTGGGATTATTTATATTGTTGCTAAAATTTTAAGTTATGTGATTTGATTTGATTTACTTTCAGTTTAGATCAAGAATGTATATCACAATTTATGTGCTTTTTATTGATTGTGTAAGTAGGGAAATTAAAATTGGATCATTTTCAGATTAAGGTTCTAATGTAGTTTATGATGAGATTAGAACATGTTCTGAATTCAAGTGGGAAATTGCATTCCATTTTTGTGATTGCTTTACTTTGGTAGAATAATTGGTATATTTCATATTTTATAGTTTGTCTATGTTTTATCATATTTGAAATTGATGTAGAAATCAATTGAATGAAATTTTTGTCATCTTATAATGATTAGATGGCACCCAATAACAAAAGAGTCAATGACGAAACATAAGGTGGGGTGAATCGGGCTAATTGGTCTAAAGAAAATTTACATGTGTTCAGTGATTTGTGTATTAAATTTACAAAGAGGAGTAAGGGTAAGCATGGTTCCACAACCTCACAACGAATTCCATGGAAGGTGTTCGAGGTAGAGTTTCAAAAAAAAAACCTTAGTGTATGAAAAGAACAAACTAAAAAACAAGTGGGATCACATGAGGAGTAGATGGAGCCTTTGGAAAGCTTTGAAAGGAAAAGAAACCGGATTGGGATGGGATCATAAAAAAGGGACTATAAGTGCTAGTGAGGAGTGGTGGAAAAACAAAATTGAGGTTAGTAGCTTCCATCCTTTTACCTATTTTTTATTTTGCCAATGTTAGGAAAGCAATTTGATTTTTTTTTTTTAATTTTTTTTTTTCATTTTTAATTTTCATAGGAAAATGCCCACTATAAGACATTTCAAGATGAAGTGATTGATCCAGATTTGGAGTTAAAGATGGACTAATTATTTGGAGTATTAGTTGCTCAAGGGGTGCATACTCCAGTTCAAATTGAAAAAGAAGATGTTTATTACATTCATTCCCCTCCGAGTGTTAATGTTGGTGATGTACCATTTCAATATGATGATGAGATGAGTGAGAATGGTGCATTTAACAACATCCAATCTAGGAGGGAATGGAAAGAAGTTTGGAATGATAATGCCTCCATTCCATCTCTTTCTCCTACTTCTCATTCTCCTACTCCACCATGTAATGAGTATACTAGAAAAGGAAGTAAAAGGGTCTTTGAATGTAATGATCTTTCAGAGAGCTCTAAAAGTTGTAAGACTGAAACATAAAAAAAAAGAGGCTTTGTAATGTTACTTGAGAAATTAGATGTCATGGTGAAGGTAGTTACGGAGAGAAACTTGAAGGACATGGAATTAATGAACCTTGAATCTCAAAAACTTGACTCTTCTTCTTCTTCTTCTTCTTCTTCTTCTTCTTCTTCTTCTTCTTCTTCTTCTTCTTCTTCTTCTTCTTCTTCTTCTTCACTAGCTGATTCTTTGGCCAAGTTAGTATCGTTGCCCAGTTTAATACCCAGTAGTAAAGAGTTTTGCTTTGCTTATACCTTAATTGAGGATCCTCAAAAAAGGATAATTCTTGATGGTATGCTAGATGATCACTCAAGATACCAATGGTTAAAGTACTAATATGACAAGAGTGAAAAGAAAGAGTGATCATCATGCTAACTTTAATGTAGGATATTACAAGTATTAGCTATGTAGTTTTATTTACTACTTTTGTTATCGGAATGTAAGCTTAAGTAGAAGATGCTACATACATGGAAAATAGCATATGTATGTATGTACTTGTCTCATGATTTTTTTGGATAATAGTTCACGAGCTTGGTTTTTTTTTGTATAAATTATGCTAATTTTAGATGGTACATGGAAACTAGCATATATATGTGTTAGTTATTTATGTGTTCATATTTTGTATGTATCTACCATAAATATATTTCTTGGTTGTTTATAGGTATGGACTTGTAGGTTAAACGTAATGCAATAAGTAAGGGGCGTAGAAATAATTTGTTTTGGGACTCGGTGGCTTGTGCATTGGGTTATGTAGACACCCATTTGTGTCTCCCCAAAACCAAAACCCGGTGATGAGTACCTTTCACGTCGAACCACAATCGAATGAAGTGAAAGTGTGGAAAGTCTAGTGTTGTGGATAGTTTTAATTTCTTTTCTCTTCTCTCTGTTTTTGAAAACTTATTTTAAGAAAACATCCAATCCAGTTTGGTTGGTCCATGATATGGATCCAATAGTAGTGTAGTTGGATGGGGCTTGACAGGAGCTTTCCAATGATATATTATAAGCCCAATTCCGATGAATATTGAGGAAGTTATGGCCAATTTACCAAACTGGGCCCGGTTTGAGCTTTATATGCGGCCCAATGATCTAGGGGAGGGCCTAAAATAATTTATCGTTCCTAATGCAATTAGGAATGGTTATAGTCTTCTAGAAGGTTATTTTCATTCCTAATTCAATTAGCATTGATAAATTGACTTTTGTTGACTTTTCATAGTTTTAATTAAAAATCAAAAAGCATTTTCGAGGAAAAGATACGATTTTATCCTCCACTACGACAAACTTATCTGATTTTCGGAAACGCGTCAAAAACAGGCCTGGCGCCTGACTCCAGGCATTGGTGCCTGGAACCAAGCCTGGCGCCTGGCGCCAATAAGCTGGTGCTGGCGCCAGCTCTGTTTTGCGTGCGCCAACCTCGTTTTGCGTGCGCCAACCTCGTTTTGCGTTCGCCAAGTGCTCTGTTTTGATATTTTATCTTTTCGGCTGATTTCTCTATAAAAAACTTATTAAAAACTTCGTTTTCATAGACCTACAATCAGTTTTCATTCGCAATCATTAATTCTTTAATTCTCTTAATCATTCACCAACTCTCATCAAGATTTTCTTGATTATTCATCTCTTTCTTTCTCTTTTCTAAACTTGCTTTTTTACATACAAAATTACGCATTCGCAAGATCTAGAAACACCTAGCCATTTTCGAAGTTGCCTTCGCCCTAGATGTGAAAGGTTTAATTTCTGAGGGTTTGGTCCCAAATCTCTATTTCAATTATTTAATTTAATTGTTTGATTATTATTTTCCTTGAAGTTACTAACGTGTGTATTTTGTTATTAGAAAGAGGTACGAGGCATCCAAGTAAGTGCTTTAATTGATTTATTGATATTATGATATAGAAATCATGTTAGGGTTTGTTATTAATCTTATTAGTATCATGCCTAGTGTCTTGCTATTATTATGCTTTAACATGATTATTATGATTACGATTATTATAATTATTGTTATGATGATTATTGTTTTGATTATTATTATAATTATTATTCATGATTATGATTATTATATGTTGCTTGATTATATTTTATTGTTATTGCTTGATCACGCCTTCTATGCATGTTTAAATGCAATTGGTACTTGTAATCTTGCTTAATAAGATAATTAATAATCTTGTTTATGGTTAATTTGATTGTAATTCAAGTGATTGCCAATAATATATTTATTTGTGCATTAATATTCAACCAACATAGATAAACATGTTTAGGGTAATCCTATTGATTACATGTTAGTTAAAAAGCACACATGAATACGATCAGAATAAAGTAGAGGCCTATTTTTAGGACAGGTTCAATCTCTTTTAGGTTGGATTTGTACCTTCATCCCCGAACCCTTATTTGGTTCTAGACCTTATGGAGTTGACAATCCCTTGGATCGTTAAGGGGTGTAACCTTCACTCTGTGAACGGTTTACGAGTTCCTAAAACTTGTTGGCGACTCTTTGGCTCTATCTTCTTCCCTTTTGGACGCCACCGTACTTTAGTGTATGATCACAGTGGGGTTCAGGCTAGGGGTTTAACGCTTGAAATTTATTCCCCACAGGTTATATTTCTCTTTATTATGTAAAATAAATACATAAGGAGCCATGATTCACTTCTTATATGATCGGAGAAAGATGGATTCATGAAATATTAAATGGACATGAAAAAGGTTGTTATAACATGTTTAGAATGACTAAAAATACTTTTCGGAAATTAGCCTTTGACTTGGAAAATAAGTATGGGTTGCTTCCTTCAAAGAGAATGTCAACACTAGAGAAGTTGGGTATATTTCTATATGTCCTTAGTATAGGAGCATCAAATCGAGAAGCTCAAGAACGATTCCAACATTCTGGAGAAACCATAAGTAGAGTTTCGAAAGAAGTTTTAGATGCAACACGTGGTTTTTCAAGGGATATCTAAAAAATTCAAGGAGATTCCCCACCAAATTGCTAATGATACGCGATATATGTAACACCCCAATAATTCTCTCTTAAAACCTGTAAATACCCTGAACAAAATCTAAGAGAATTAGTGGCGTGCTACCGCCACGTGTTTAAACGTTAAGGCTGTATCGGAAATTAGCAGCGGAAAAACTAACTCAGTTATAAATAAGTTTCAAAACCAACAAATAAAACCAAATTAAGTGATACAAGATGGAACCATTAAGGCCCTTATTCAAAACCCCACAAAAGTAGTAAATAAATAAAACCAGATTTTAAATAAATTCAAACTTATGAAAAGAAATAAACTGCGAATAATAACCAACCCTCTACTCAAAATCCCACAACCCTGATGCGAATGCTGCGTATGTAAGAACTTGTGGTTAATGTGCTCCCCAATATTACAAGTGTAAAATTGGATCGTCACAGGGTCATTGAAAGGCGAATGCCATGACCAAAGAAAGACACACACAAAAGCACGCAATCAGCAAAGCTGAGTACATACAAGCTGCGAAATAAATTAATAAAATACCTAACATGCTAATAATAATCAAGCATAAGCATCATTAATTAAATACAGACTCAACACATGACTCAATTATCAAATTTATTAAGACCTCACTAGTTGATATTAACTAACTCATTTATTTATTTCATTGGATTTAGCAATAGACAAGGTTGTCCAACCCATGTCCCATTTGGAACATCAATAAAAGAAAAACCCCATGCCTCCTTTCGGAAACATCAATAAACATCCAACGACCACAGGGCGCGACTCCGTGATCGTAGTTAGTATGAGACCTCACCTAACTCCTAGTTTAAAAAAAAAATATTTGAAATAAGAGACTCGTAGATCAGACGGCCTCGAGAAAAGTACACGGCTAATACCCCGTGTACCCCAACCCCTGATTGTCATTACTCCAGAAGTGCACCAATCCAGAGTTTTATTGCTCATCCATCTTGCACTTTACGTGATTTATAGGTTTAGACTTGGTGATGACTCATATGCAAACAATGCTATCAATCCAATATCAATTCAATCAAGTAAAACAACTTTTCAATTTCAATTCTTGATTTATTAGTGACAAACAACATTTATTATTTATTCCTTTACTACCTCGGTGTATAAACACCTTGAGTGCATAAGGCACCCCAAAGCCTTAACCTTGTCTTATAAGACTTAAATTCTTCCTTTGCTCATCCTGCTTGCATAATCATGAATGAGTAATAAATTAATCTGTACACCAATCACATACCTTTGCCTCTAAGCGCACCTTGCATAATTAGAGCACAAGTAATACTTGCAATATAAAATAGTGCACTTCATATGAAATTCACAATGTATAACCAAACAATTTAACCCAGTCACCCCTATACATGATACTAAGTTCTCGATCCGTCCTTAAACATGCACCTATAAGAAAAGTTTCATAACTTGTACGTACCTTGAGTAAACAAATTGGTATGCCACTTTACTATCTAGAAATCACCTTCAATAAACTCCTCTCCTAAACCAAATAATAACATCTTAATCAATACCCAATCAATCAAATTTACAGCAATGCTAACTTACTTTAAAACCTTCAAAATCCAAATCAAACAACTGTTTAAAACCTTCCCTTTAGTTAAAATTAAAGGCTTATATATAGTTCTTTAAATTTTCTTCATAAAAACCTTAAAATACACTCTTATACATGAAATTACAGCAAGTTCAAAGTCTAATAAAAATCTGAAAATTATATAAAAACCCCTAATAATCTCCCTTTTTAATGGGTGATTAAACCCTCTTTATATTATAAAACATCAAAAGTAGTACTTAGAAACTATTTCCAACACTTAAAACTTCAATAAAAACATATATTTATGCTTAATCAACTTTAAACATAATTAATTTTATTAATCAAACTCAAGGATAATAGTTTAAATATAAAAAAACTTCGTTAAAATCAAAAACTGCCCGAAAATCATATTTTGAGGCTGAATTTTGCCACGAAAGGGTGGTGCTCACTACCATAGGTAATGAATCTTTCTTAAAACGTTGTTTCCACATGGA